AGTATGAGGTTAGCACCACATGTTAGATAGAGCCCTTTGATGGTGATCTCCAAATGTATGAGTTCTCTTCTGTTTTTCGAGATATCGATCGTTTTATCATCGACAGGAAAATAAAGTTGTTTGTCCAAGTCATCAAAGTATCCTCACATATCCTCTTCACCATGCTCGATTCAAAAAGTCTTGGATTTACCTCGTCCAAGATGACACCCATGTTTATGGTGTCCGGTTCTTGAATTGGTTGTCAGCAAAGCAAAAGCGCGAAATCACAGTAGACAATCGAAAAGAAAGTAAAAAAATAATGAAATTTTGAAGGCAGTGAATGAAAATCAGAGGGAAATAATTCCAAAAGCAACCCAAAACTCTAGCCTGATTAACTAACGTAAATTTTTCTTCAAATTTCAATATTACAGGCTAACCCCCACAACGCACAAAGCACCTTGAAGTTTGCACTACACTTGTTAAACGGAATGCAATTTGTGATAGAAATGAATATCCAGAGGGTACTTGTATTTTCTCTACAAATTCAAGCTTCTTTTGCACTTGAACACACACACACACACACTACTATGTTTGATATTTCACGCCTCGATCGTTTACCTAAGTTCATTTTATCACTAGTCAGTTATCTGCAAAGAGCATTTATATGATCACAGTCAATTCAAATCCCACCACAAAACCTAGAGATAGAGAGACTACCTCTCAAGCGTTGTGCAATACTCCAAATGCAGTGCGGCGGTGGTTCTATTGTACCCAATCGCGCGCCTCGAACACCTCCTCAAGAGAGACTCCCCATGGCCTTTGCCCTCTCCCTCAGCACAAACTTCTGAACCTTACCCGTGCTCGTTTTCGGCAGTTCCCCGAACACAACCGTCTTTGGCGCCATATAATGCGGCAGTCTTTCCCTACAAAAATCCATCAACTCCCGCACGCCCACCTCCGACTCACACCCTTCCCTCACCTTCACGAACGCGCACAAACTCTCTCCCCAATGCTCGTCCGGTCTCCCCACCACCGCCACCTCATCCACCGCCGCGTGCCTGTAAATCACCCTCTCCACCTCCACCGTGCACACATTCTCCCCTCCCGTGATCACCACATCCTTCCACCTGTCCTTCACCTCGATATACCCGTCCGCATGCTTCACCCCCAAATCCCCACTCCTAAACCACCACCCGTCCGCGAAAGCCTCTCGAGTCGCCTTTTCATCTTTTAAATACCCGGCCATAACCGTGTTCCCCCGAAACACGATTTCCCCTATCGTCACCCCATCCGCCGGCACGCTACTATTCACCACGTCACTCAAGTCCCGCACGTCGACCTCCTCTAGGCAATAATGCCCGACCCCTTGTCGGGCCTTGAGCCTCGCCCGCTCGTCTCGACCCAACGAGTCCCACTCGGGCCTCCATGCGCACCACGTGCCCGGCCCGTACGTCTCTGTGAGCCCGTACAAGTGAGAAACCCGAAAACCGAGATCCTCGATTTTTAATAGGACAGGCTCCGGAGGAGGCGCGCCGCCCGTCATGATCTCGACTTTGTGGGGCAACGGCTTTCGAGAAGCGGGCGAGTTCACGATTGCGTTCAAAACGGTTGGCGCGCCGCTCATGTGGGTGACTCCGTGGAGGGCGATTTGGTCAAATATCACGTCGGGCGAGGGTCTGCGGATGCAGACGCTGGTCCCGCCGAGGGCCGCGAGGCCCCAGACGAGACACCAACCGTTGCAGTGGAACATTGGGACGGTCCATAGGTAGACGGGGAACGAGGTCATCCCGTGGACGAATGACGTGGCGAGCGCGTTTAAATACGCGCCTCGGTGGTTGTACACGACGCCTTTCGGTCGGGAGGTGGTGCCCGACGTGTAGTTTATGCTTATCGGGTCGAATTCGGATTCGGGTCGGAGGGGGACGAAGGACTCGTCGACTCCGGAGGAAATGAGGGACTCGTAATCATGGGTGTCGGGGGAAGGGGCGTTATCAGAAATTTGGACGAGGATGGGCGGTGGTTTGAGGGTTTTTTCGAGGGAAGATCGGGCGGTGGTGAGGAGGTGGTGGTCGGAGAAGAGGATCTTGGCCTCCGAGTGGCGGAGGAGGGCGGAGATCATGGCCGGGTCGTGGCGGGTGTTTAGGGTGCAGATGATGGCTCCGGCCATGGGAACGGCGAAGTGGAGCTCCACCATGGCGGGAACGTTGGGGGCAAGGGTTGCTACCTGTTTTTCAGTTCTTTCTTTGCTGAAAATTTTAGAAAATTCACAATTGCACACCAAGAAGAAGAAGGGAAGACAACAAATCCAAGAACGGCAATTTACAAATTTCATTTTTCTCCAAAAAAAAATAAAAAATTACCACGTCGCCACGAGAAATTCCTAACTGGGTCAGAGCAGAAGCGAGCTTGAGGCACCTCGCGTGGGTCTCGGCCCAAGTGAACTGCAGAGAACCGTACACAACCGATGTTCTGTCTCTGAAAACTCTTGCAGCTCTTTCTAGAAAGCTTATGGGCGTCAGCGGCGCGTGGTTTGCGGGGCACTTGACGAGGCCCGGCAATGATTTCCACGACACAGCTTCGCGATCTTCAGATGATGATCCACAAAGATGCCGGGAAGAGAGGTTTTTCCATGGGTGGGACTCGTTCACGAAATTTATCGAACACCTGGAATGCGATGAGCTCCACCGTCGGAGAAAGTGATTCATTGCGCTGGGGAAACTAATAATTGAGCTAAATTTTTATCTTTATTTTAGAACTAGTAGAAAACTCTTGTACGGTTCCTGAAAATAAAATAATACATACACAATAAATATTGATCAACCAAAAGATTTTATACTTGTATTTTACATTAAAAACAAAACAGCGCATTATGCCTGATTCTCCTTGGCAGAAGTGCATTTATTCTCTCACAGGAATGATTTGCATAATCTCTGCTAATCTGGTTAAAGGCGCGATTCTAGGGTTTTAGTGGATGAATGAGTGTTTGGATGATGAATTGGTAACAAAATGATTATGTTTCCCTATACTTGTGTTATTCCTATTCTCATAACCTCTACTTATCATTTTCTTCTTCTCAAGGAAACTGAAGAAAAAAAATAAATAAATAAATAAAAAATTGCTTTGACCGAAGATAGTTGAAAGTTGAAACTAGAAGGAATTCAGAAGGATATTTACAATAAATTGTTTTTTACTTTGTTTTAAGTTTTTACGTTCCGAATGGTTTCAATAAGTAATGGCATATGTATAAATTTCTTGATTATAATTAGCTTGCGATTGTAAATTAGGATCGTTTTAGATTTGTTCTCAAGCGTAAGGAAGACTAGACACTAATAGTGATTATTGAATGTAACAGGCTATTCAAATCTCAAAGGCATATAACTTCCATGTAATTTCTATTCAATCGAGAGTCAATTCATCACTAGAAAATTATCAAATTTGAACGATAATATATTCTAATTAATAGTTGGTTGTAAAATTCAAATGACAATTCTAGAAAATATTTAATTGAAATTTGACAATTGTAACGATAATTTTTTCAATATTTAAAAATGCTGACGAGAAAAATAATTCGAACGAAATTTTTAATGACAATGGATACATAATGATAGAATCCAAATTTCATTTAGGGAAATTTAACTATGATATATTTTTTTGCAGCGATTACAAAAAAAATATTTTATTTTATTTTTCAAATTTACAAATGTTTGACAATATTTTACCTTGTTGAGACATTGATATCTGTTATATTTATCTTTGAGTAAAAGTGAACTAAATGATTTATGCTGCCACAAGACATGGAAATCTCCTCCATGGATGGACAATATCAAATTCTCCAAATTAGTACAATATATTATGGTTTTAGTTGTGCTTTACCACTTATGATTATGCATATATATAAGTCCAGATTTGATTTGAAGGCTAAAATCGCTATTAGATTTGCTAACCACAATATTGGCTAACAAAATTTAAAGTTTTAGGATCATAATCATAAATATAGAATGAAAAAAATTCCTATAAATTTGGACATTCATTTTTACGTACTTAAAACTATATTCCAAAAGAAATAAGGCTTTTATCTGCTGAGGTACATATAACACACTATGGTACGAAAATTATCTTCCATATGATACATTACCAGAATGATATACAGACACACTTAAATTTTTCTTACATTTTCAACAATTCGTCTAATATTTACATTATTCGTTCATTCATTAACCATTTTTTTTTTTACGCGAACGTATTTGAATTTTTTTTTTCTCTATATATACTGTATAACAATTATTTTTTCTTTATTACAGGGGAATTTTGCCCTAATATTGATTTTGTTGGGGGCTTTCGCGGGAGCAAGCCAAGGTTGGAGTCATTTGAAAAAGTCTCAAAACTCGACAGAGACTTCGCTAAACTTCGATGTCACAAAGTTCGGAGCCATTGGCGATGGAAAGACATATGACACCAGAGTAAATCATTCATCATCTTATTTCTAGACAATTTGTATATAAATCACATTCCTTAACTTGAATGTACAATTTTAATGTACATTTTCTTTATTTTATTTCTCGCAAAATAAAAAATAAAAATTTCAACAGGCCTTTCAGTCAGCATGGAATGCAGCTTGTGCAAAAGAAGTAGATAGTGTGCAGATAACAGTGCCTCCAGGTAAAACCTTCTTGATTTATGCACTCAAATTTGAAGGCCCATGCAAATCCTCCTCCATTACTTTTCAGGTATTTAACTATTATAAAACAAAAAAAAAAATGTGATTTAACTATTGTTCATATATACTAAAATCATTTACTTTCTAAAATTAGATATTAGGACATATTATTGCTCCTCCAAAATCAGCATGGAGAAAAAAAGAAACACAGTGGCTCAATTTTCTCGGCATTGACGGGCTCACGGTCGATGGAAATCGAGTAGGCCTAATCGACGGCTTAGGACAAACGTGGTGGGATAAAGTGAGTTCGAGTACAATATGTAATAACTACATTCAATTCACCTATACTCGAAACAAACATTTTCATCGGTCGATATTATTTCATTTGATCAGGTGAAAGGGAGCTCATCACGACCAACGGTCAGTAATTTCAATTTCAATTTTCGACGAATTGAAGTGTAAAAAAAGGGAAAAAATTTACGGTAATATTATTACATTTCGGTCAAGGCAATGCGATTTTCGCGGTGCAACAAACTCCAAATCAGAGGATTGAAATACATCAACAGCCAAAAGAACCACATATCGATAAACGAGTGCGACTATGCAAGAATCTCGGGTCTCGACATTAGAGCTCCTCAGACAAGCCCCAACACGGATGGAATCGACATAAGCGCCTCAACAAACCTCGACATTCACGATTGTGTCATGGCAACCGGTAACTCATATTTTTTACGACTCGTCAATTTTATTTTAATTTTTCTTTACTTTTTTTTACGTATAGTTTACCTACGGTCGTGAAATGTCTTGAAGGGGATGACTGCATTGCCATTAACGGTGGCACTTCGGATGTTCGAATAAAAAACATAGCATGCGGTCCGGGACATGGAATAAGGTATATATCTCTTTCTTAAATGTGGAATAAGATTTTCTACTCTACACTTCCATGTTCCATTTCGTGTTCCGCTCCGTTTGGTGAATGACATGTGTAAATGATGATGTCATATTTGTACACGTGTCATTCATCCAACGGAGTAAAACACGAAATGGAACATGAAATTAAGTAGAACAGAAACTGCATCGGCAAACACGTTTTTATCCTCGAAAATTACTCTTTTTTCCTTTTTCGGCAGTATCGGGAGTTTAGGGAAAGGCGGACTTCACGAAGAAGTACAGAGAATAAACATATCTAACTGCATTTTTACAAGAACACAAAATGGTGTGAGGATCAAGACATGGCAGGTAAAAAAAAAAAATAAGTCGAGCTCATCAAGAGTCGAGTAATACGGATCCATTTATAAACGGTGATTTTTTTTTTTATTATTATTATTATTTTTTTTGTAGGGTGGTTCGGGATTCGCCAAGAATATTGTTTTCTCAGACATAACCTTCATAGAGGCAAATAACCCGGTTATCATCGACCAATTCTACTGCCCTCACTTGAAATGCAGCAAGAAAGTAAGCAATTTTTCACAACATATATAATATTTCGAACACTTCAAAATTGCCGAATAAATTAAATTGTGCTCTGCTCATCCTTTTTTCGTACCAGGCATCAGCTGTCCAGGTCAGCGACGTGACATTCTCAGGGCTACACGGGACATCGTCATGCAAAAATGCGACAGTTAACTTGAGTTGTAGTGAGACAGTTCCTTGCAATAATATCGTACTTGATGATGTCGATATAGAGTCAGCTTCCGAGCAAAACTCGGCATCTGCGCATTGCGTTAATGCTCACGGGCGGGCAAATACTCAGAGCCCAATCGTCAATTGTCTGAAAAAAAACTTTAAAAGATATTAGATAGAAAGTGGTGCTTGTTAATGTTATCCATCCATCACATATATATTAGGCTTTGTAACAGATGATGTAATTTGTGTCGTGGTGTTTTTTCTCCACGGTGGTGTTTCGTTTTCCGAATTACCCAAGCTCACTTTGTGAGTTGTGAGGATATGAATGGCAAATGAAATTTACTAGGAATATTATGATGCACAACACAGTTAATTCACTGATTCCTCCTCTATCACATATCATTGTTTCCCCTGTTATCTCGATTAGGATACACAACAACCGATGAACTGATTCTTATATTTTAATCTAATTTGTTGTCAAAGTCGTTCTAACAATACAACATTAATAATACATTACATACATATTCACTATTAAAAAAAAAAATGCGATTAACTCATATTGGTGAAAACTAGTGCGTCAGGAGGCTGAAATCTAGACCCACGCCCACGCAACTCCAGTCTTAGCCATCTTCAGTCGAAAAATTCCTCGTTAAATCCATTTACAGTAATTGTCGGATCAAATATTAATTCTTTTCTAACCATTAAACTAATTATCAAATTTAAAAAAAAAAATCTCGAAATATTATGTTTAACATCAATTAATTTTACAAACTTTTCAATAGTATCTACACAATCAACAAATTTTAAAATTCGACTTAGTATTATTTTGTATTAGGTGGAAGATACGTATAAATTAAGCAGAGATTTGCACATATAAAAAAATAATTGAACAAAAAAATGAAAAAAAAAAAAGTTCATGGAGTTACAAATTTCATAGAAATAAAAAATACGTAGCTGTTTCCAAATATTTTTTTTTAAAAAAAATCATATCTAAATTTGTTAACTATTGTCTTATTTGAACTTTTTTAGTAATGTTGTCTTTTTATAAATTATTTTATAAGTATTGTTTGAATATCTTTAGAATATTCTATAACAATTTTAATAATTATTAGATTGAATTAGTATACACCATATATCCAAATTTTTTGTAGTTATATATATTTTATTGATTGCAATATATGAAATGAAAAAGTTATATATATTTTATTGATTAGGATAACATGAAATAAAAAAATTATATAAAAAACATTAAATTTATTGACTTGCCACAAACTCCTCAATCTTAGCCGCCATAAACTCTCTGAATAGACCGGAAAACCATTCACTGAGATACATTCACTACTGAGATACATGTATTTACGTATAGAATCACTACCAAACAAAAATCAACATAAAAAAGCCCATCATTATAATTCTTGACAATCATAAAAAAGCCCATCACAAAAAAAAACCGACATGTTATGTTAATAATTCTCTACCATCATAAAACAGCCCATCATAAAAAAAACAACATTTATGTTCATAATTCTTGACAATCACATACCATATTCATTATTTCGACTTTGATCTGCAAGCCACTTGTAGGGATGGCAGGGTGTGTTGCCAATTTTTTGAACGTTGCAAGTGCATAGATGGGTTTGTCCAAGAAATAACGTACTTCAACCAGAGAGTTCTCCACACGTTCCTCGAGAACTTTCCCACTCCCGAAACAACACCATTGATTGGAAAACCGGTACTGAGACATTGCCAGAGTTTTAACATCACTCTAAAAATACATTGCGGCCCGCATCTTTTTATTTTTTTTACCTTTCTCACAAATGTAACGGTACTGAGACAATGTACTGCCAGAGTATTGTGGAATCACAACCATCGCTCTAAAAATACATTGTGACCGCATCTTTTTATTTTTTTTACCTTCTCACAAATGTAACACTGGATAGACATTTTGATTTATGAGCGATGGGAATTTTTTTTCGCAAGGAAGAAAGGAAGAAGAAGGAAGAAGAATGGAAGAAGAAAAAAAGAAAATATGTTCGAAGAATTTTTTCGAAAGAGAGGGCAGTTCAGTTATGGAGACAGAGGAGAGAGAGTAAGGAGAGAGAGTAGACAGAGGAGAGAGAGAGTAAGGAGAGAGAGAGTAGGGACAGAGAGTATCCGCCCAATTCTAGTTAGTTATTTTTGGCAACGGCCGAAAATATCTGCCATGGTTATATTGATTGATAAATCACACAATCCACAGCAAAAAGTTTTTCATTTGGCCTGAATGATAGAAGACTAACATACCAGAATTAGCAGGGGGCCATCAAATTGGCTTTGGATCCACTCATCCCATTGACCTCTTTATTATTAAGGTTGTTCCTGAGTTCTTGGATAAATACCTCTAGGGGGATCAGCTCATTAGCATAGCCAGTTGCTCTTTCCTTCTCGATGGAAATTCTAGTCGGTAGATTGATTCTTTTTTCCTTTTCAAAATTTTGAGAGAGAGAGAGAGGAGAGGAGATGATGATATGGTTGCTTACGGCTCATATTTTCTCCATAAAGTGCATTATCTTTGGTGGAGATGATGGCGAATAGTGTTCCCATGGTTGAGGAGGAGATGTTTTAACCTTCATACAAAAACTTAAAAGTTTCTTAATGTATTTGATCAAAATGAATGTTCTTGCAGACTGAAAAATAATCTAAGAAAGTGGATATCTTCATCATAGACATTGAATCCATAAATTGCTGCAAAATTGACTCACGTGGCATCCAAATCACATTACTTGAGCCAATTTGATTTTTTATTAAAAAAAAATGGTTTGTCTCATGAAGACTTTTAACAGGATCATATAAACAACAACTAAAGGAATCAGAAAGTATCACCTTCTTTTCCTTCATCTTCTTGTCACAATGTCAGTGAAATTCTGAAGCCATGTTTTGAAATATCTGACCAATTGGTCATAGTCCATTACATGAGCTGTAGTTGGTCTTCTGCCCCTCCTTCGGTAAAACTTTTGCTCAATCTGATCCTGCTAGTGCCAAAAATACGGTTACAAATTTTACGGAGTTGACACATTATGCTGATACAACAATATTCTTGATCTGCATATTATTAGAGTACCTGTTTAGTTTCCTTGCTTTCTTCAGACTGCCGCATCTCTGGATACTGCGTTTTAGGCATAGCATGGCCTAATCATTCAGAGTCTAGGTTCCTGCCTGCAATACTATCGAGTGGCTGCTCCTATTTCATGCTTTTCAGCAATTCATTATACAAACTAGACTTATTCTAAGATATATTTATATTTATGCATCTTGCATACTAGAATAACAAGAAACCCTTTCATTCATTCTGAAAGTAACTTTCACAATAGAGTTTACTGATTTTAGGTACCACTGTAGTGAATTAAGATATGCCAAAAGGAACTGGAAATGCCCTAGAAATTAACTATTCAGGCCAACCAGTCACCAGCAATACTCATGGATTCCTTATGTTTATGGCTCATCTCTTCACAAGGTGGTGAGGTTATGACACTGGGCATCTCAGTGTGCTCAGGTTGAATGAAACTTGGTCGTGTCTCCTCACTCCCTTCTATACAAACCTGTCAAGACACAAGAGATCTATGAAAAATTACATTAATAGATGAAGTATTAGCCATAGTGCCACCATATCCATGAACTATAAGGCCCATTGGAAAATTCTTGGCATAGTACTGAATGTAGTGGTATCTACCTGGTAAGAATCATATATTCAAGTAAGGCAAGATTAGCCGCATCAGCTGAAACAACAAAATAGGGAATTAGGACTAAAGAAAAGAAGCTGTTAGAATAATTGCTAGCAAAAATGGTACCAACTTACAAGGGAACTGTGGATACCTTGATGGTGTTCCTGGTTTAGGTCAGCCTATGGGTTTGGATGTAAATACGGATCATCTATACTGTCCAGTCTCTGAAAATAAGACTTCCTGCATTAGTACCAAGGGCAGTTTAATCTGCTATTACTATTTGTACTAGCAACCAGTGAACAGAATCCAAATGCTTAGCTCTTGCAGATTCTCCATCATTATTGATTAACAGAAGCTAATAGTCCCCTTCAAAATTTTATAAACAAACATGGTCTAATAGTCCCCTTTAAAATTTGCAACTACAGGTCCTCACGTTTTGTCATTTTCACAAACTTCATCAAATGAGGATGTGCTATTTTAATACCATAGCAATATAGGAGGTCTGTCCACCATGGTGGCTGCGTATTCTAACGGAAGCAAACGCTCAATCCTCCATGTCATCGCTAGTATTCGGTGGCAATGTGACAGCTTCATAACTACAGAATCTGAATCATGGGAAGGAAACTATATCAACAATTAATTTTTATGAGGGGTTACTCTTTTTGATATCTACGCAGTACTTGAAATGTTCCAGAGTGTGATTGGGTTTCTCTAATAGCTTTGTTGTGAAGGTAAATTCTGAAAAGTTGTTTTACAGATGGTATAAATAATCAGTGCTTTTTTGTAAAAAGACCCAACATCAAACCTCCAGCAAAATAGAATCTCATGGTTCATTGAGAACAATGTTAGAAGCAAAAATGGGGAAAAGATTCAGAAAATATCTGGACAGTCAAACTCACTTGGCTTTTCAATGGGTTTTGGCAATATAACAGTAACCGAGTTCCAATAGCAATATGCATGAGAAATCCAGAAAGTTCTGCGGGCATAGAAACTGAAAGCTTTTCAATGGGTTTTTGGCTATAAAAACTTACCAGATTTTGATAATGTTAGACGAGATTCTAACTTCACTTATGAAATTCTCTAGGATTGCTCATTAGCTGACTGTGGATTTTTGAATGCATAGTCGCTAGCTACTGTCCTTCAAACACATCCATACACACACACAGAACTAGAATCTCACTTCATGATCTTTAACTTAATGTATAATTTATAAATTATAAACCCTTCTAACGAGAAACCAAACTCATATCAACATTGATTATAATTTTTACAGACAAACCAGAGCCACTTTTCTATGAAATTCAATTCTAAGTTACCATAAATAAAAAACAGGGTAATGCAAGCAAAATATTAAATCCAAAGCCACACAGTCATCAAAACCCACCTGGAAACCCGCATAATACAAGCAATATAACGTTTACCAAATTCCAGAAAAGGCAAAAAAAAAAAAAAAATTAACACAAAGGATTAAAATCAAATTGAAGCACAAACCATATTTCGCACGTTCATGCTTCAGAGAGGTCCAAACGAACTCACTCTATGGCTGAAATCGTGAATAAAGGGGGCGAAATTTGAAGAAATGACGTCGAATTTCTACCATATTTGCCGAGCGGAGCTTTGCCAGCTAGCAGCTGGTGGGAGTAGAACATGTTGCTGGTGAAGTTTGACGGCCAACATCAAACTCAGCTCAGAAGTTTCGTGAATGCTTATAGATATATGGAGAGAGAGAGAGAGAGAGAGAGAGAGAGAGAGAGAGAGAGACTATATACATGTGCAGGGGATTTTGAATGCGTAACAAATCGAGTTCGCGCCAAGCAGAGAGAAAAAATTGCACATGGCGCGCCAAATTGCAATGCGGAAAGAATGTTTCCTGTGTGCTACAGTTACCGAAGGGTGCACGATATTTTCGTGCTACTATTAAAACAGTGAAATTTGGGGCGAACTATGTCTATGCATTTTATCTATGCTTTGAGTATTTTTTACTTCTTTTTATTTTTTTCATTTTAATCTATCTATTAGTCCATGATTATTTTTATTATCATCAAATTACATTTTATTTCAGTTACTATATGTAAATTTGACACTGTTTAACTAAAGTCAATTTATAGTTTTAACTTTTAACAAAGAACCGTAACAATTGGACACTGTTTCCAAACAATTGATCAATATGCACTCATATAAATGAATATATGTATAGGTATGATCAGATGATATTGTATAAAATTATAAATACGGTTGAAACTTATATATGTTTCATGGTATGATGGCATCAATTAATGTTGACAATTATATATCAGTTAGACTATAGTTAAGCAGAGATAACAGTTAGACAATCATACCTTTTAAATAAATATACATAATTTCAAATTTAAATATTAGCTATAACTATAAAAAGAGATTAAGTATTTATTAAATATAGTAAGAAAAAAAAGAACGCTTTACTAAACATAGAATACATTTAATTTGCTAAAAAGTTATTTATATTCCTTAACAAACCGTGCCAACATATTGGAAAAATATATATATATATATATNTCAAATAACAGTTTTTAATTAATTAGGATTATCATACCGTGCATACAAATTGATAAAAAAAATGTAATTCATTTTGTTTCAAACATTTAAAATACCAGTTCCGTATTGCTACACATACAATATATAGTTCATGCAATTACATGCATATCCTTTAATAAAATGAATATAAATTTTAAAACACTATTTTATTCAAAAGTTTGTGTATAACTAATTTTGAAAATCAAAACTTAACTTGAAATAAAATAATTTAGTTACATTCTACGAGTTGGCATTACTTTCCTTATTACAGAAATAAACTTAAATGAATAACAACTCATTCCTTTTTAAAAATCTAAAAAATCACCACTTTTTAACCAACCATTTTTTTTTAGCTGAACGCTAACTGAACCCAACTATCATAAAATTATCAATATAATTAAATAATATCAATCAATCATTCTTACACACAACATCAACATTAATTCAATATTCATCACATAATTTTAATTAACCATCACATCACATATTTTCTCTTCTACTTTTACACCAATTTAATTTTAATTATTTTATTTTAAATATTATTTTAAGAAAAATAATAGAGGTGTACATAACACTCACATGGAGTGAGGTCCACTTAATTTTTTATTTTTGGTAGGACCCACTCAATATGAGTGTTATGTACACCTCTATGTATATTGTTATGTACCTATAGCATTACTCTTATTTTAATATACACATTAACAACTATCATACCTACTTTTTAAAAAAAAATGCTCTTATTTTTTCAACTGAAACATACTTATTCCTTTTTAAATAAATCATTTTTATTCACTTTCAAAGGTTCGTATTGCTTTTAATTGACAAAGCGTGCATACAAACAACAGAAAAAATAAAAATCACAATATTCCCTTTACTTTAAAAAAACATTATTCTATTACATTAGATATTAATCCATACATGATATGTTACATATGTACTCACTTAATAAATCTCCCCACATTTAATTTGGAATAACAGAAATTCATTTAGATGATAGTGTTGGAATCAAAATTTCGTAACAGAAAAACCAAAAAAATGTTGATTGTGTCTACTCGATAAAAATTGTTAACACGTCACACATAACTAATAAATCCTAACAAATTAATAAAAAAATAATTTCAAAAGTAACTAATAAATATATAGACTCCTTTCATTGGTGAGTCTATTTACATCGGATAACAACCGAAAAGTTGGGTACAGATTTTTAAATTTGGACTTAAGTGAAACTAAAAAATATTTTTAGCTTTGTGGGATATTGCATTGATTATAAAAAAACTGATAAATATTGATTCCTTTTATTTAAAAAAAAATATATATCATGTCTTCGTATTTCAACAAAAATCCTAAAAATGTGGACTCTCTTGATACATGTTGGAATAAATATCTGATAATTCCTATTCTTGACATATTATCTGTCATGTTTTTAATACTTTTTGGTGTTAAATTGAGTTTAATTATTGATTTTAATTGATTCTTATAATTTTTATAAAAAAATCTCAAAATTTGTGATTTATGATTTTGGAGGGCAAAATAAACGAGTTTGGGTTAAAACGTTGGCACGCCAATTTCTTGGAGACATTATAATAAGCTTTTAGGTTACTGTCAACAAACAAATGGTTGTACCTTGTTATAGTTTCTGTCCATAAACAAATGACTATGATTAACCGCCAAACACAATGACTTTAGAAGACCACCAATAGCTTCAAAATTAGGGATTTGTCCTTCGCGTTTACATGAAAATCTGAAGGAACCCTTAGTAATAGTAGATTTTTACTAGTAGTAGGAGCAGTTAGATCGAAAATTTATCGATTTTTTTTACTGTTGGATTAATACAAGCCGACATAGTTATATGAATGTACATTGACCCAACTTAAATGTGGCCAAATGCCGGTTTCGGACTGATTCTGGGTTAGAAATGCTGGTTCAAGTTCATATTTTATGTGAATCAGAATTGGCCAAGATATATATACGGGCTGTTGGTTCATTGAACCGGCAGTTCACGGTTCAGAACAGGTTTGCCCGGGAAATTAAAAAAAAAAAAATCAAATTTTAAATTAGAATTCGGTGTGAAATTTAGTTCAATTTGTGAAAAATTAATGAACCTAAATCGATGTGGATAAAATCACGAGTCAATTCATTATTCATTATTCAAGGCCTATGGTCAACGGTCTTGACCTGGCCGGTTCGCCCCTGGCCACCCCAACTATGAAAATTCTTAACAATAAGAATAATTAGTTTAGATTCATTCTGTTTGTCAGTATAATTATAATTTGAACTGTCTCACATGTCATGTTTCTTTGTTGGGCCATGACATGACAATCTCCAACTGTCATGTCCCATGTATGTGTGTAGGTATATATAATTTGTTAGATTTTTTTGTACTAGAAAAAGCTCAACTAAACACGGTGTAGGTAAACCAAACCAATCCAATCCGTCGTATTAATTAGAGGTTAATTGAACAAGTGTTGATTATCAAGACTAAGTTCGATTTTACACATTAACATTGTTTGTTCTTATCCGGTTTTTCATTATTTTTGCACACTTTTATATTTGTGTGGATATAAACACTTGTTCAATTAACCTCTAATAATGTGTCGGGTCAATCTGCCTAATTTTCATGTCACTTCAAAGAAGAATATGTTACACAAGCTTAGTAGATATATGTATATCATGAAACAAATGGCCTATTAAATCGCATTTAGTTAGCTTCTGTTAATGTTTATGTAGGGACTACAAGCCCGGGTTTAAAATTAAATTATTGGAGCCATATTTATTGAACAAAAAACACACATATATGCTATGATTTGTTATAAGTTTATTTATTTTTTGTTTTAAAATATGAGGATATGAAAATGCGTTAGAAAAACCAGCTTACTGTTGACTAAATGCACAAGTGGTTACGCTGGTAAGAGCAATAATAGGAAAAGTACAAAATTAAAAGGCAGATTAATTACTAGAATCTCTCGTCAAACTTATGTCATCCCTGGGTTTTCTTTTAATTTAAGGCTCTAATATGTTAATTAGGTCGCATTTAATGACCTAACCCACCTAATTTAAAAAATACAGTATATCTTTAGCAGCTTGTCAAGACCGTAATACCTAATTAACATACATAAATTAACATACCTAATATGAAATTTGTAACACAAAATTCCTGGTATGTAACTTAAAATCCCTCCTTGTATAGCAATTTCAAGTAACATTAAAGAGTCACTGATTTTGAAACGACAAAATAAAATTTGCATTAAGGTGGAACAATTTGCATCTAATAAACAGGGGAAAAAGATCTTTTTGAGGAATAATCATTTTTTTCAAATTATTAGTCGAGTAAACCGAACAAATTTACTAGTACAAAAGTAATCTTTAAATTCGAATTTGAACAATCCAGATCAAGTTGGAAAAAAAATAAACAGTAGAACTCTTGAATTCAAAATGGATCAAATCAAACTGTAAACATCAATAGTTAGATAAAGTGAAATAGATCATTTTAGAATTAATTTCATCAAAAAGAATTCCATGTGATGATGTGAATGCTAAAATCTAGCTGCTCTGCTTCTAAAGTTCAAAACTATATTATGAAAGGCAGATTCAAATTTGTCCAAGCCATGAAAGAGAGAGAGATACAAAAGAAACTCCAAAGAGGACATATATATTATACACAAAAACTGAAGAAAAAAAAACATTCAACCAAAACAAGAAGAAATTCTATCCTTTTCATTTTAACCGTTGGATTAACACAGATTCTAATTTATCCCTAGAACCTAAAAAGCACTTTCNAGAAAAAAAAAAAAAACAGAAATTTTTAAATTGTCTACCACACCTCAATTTGAATCGAGATAAACCAGCAATCACACCATAATACGCCGTGGTATCCACACCCCAATCACGCCACGCGCTTGCCGGACCTCGGCGGCCGGCGTTGTGTCTTCCTGTCCTTACCGAAAGCCCCACAGCAGCCGCAGGCCGAAACCCTAGGTGACGGCGGCTCGAAGGACGGCGAGACTCTACCGGCGCGAAATCCGCCGTTGGATCGGCTCCTCTCGAGGGACAACTCGGCCGGCCGCGGCTCGCCGCCTTCCGCCTTGGATGGTTGGGGTTTAGAGTCCTTCTGCTGATTCATCTCGCCGGCCAATAATTTGTCGTCCCACACCAATCCCGATGAGCCCTGCCGCCTGAATGATACGGCGGATCTCTGCAAACCTGCCATAATCAGTCGCTTTTTTTTGTTTTCTCAGTTTTTCGTTTGTTGTTGTTGTTTATGTGTGTGTGAGGTTTTTTCTGGATGAGGGGCGCGTGAATTATTGGATCATGGGTCGCGTTTGGAGGCTACCTTTTATGGTGTGCACATGTATGTACATACACATATATATATATGCATGATGCATGTGAGATGGTTTCTAATATTATTATGTTATTAATATTAATATTAATTATTATTATTATTATTTTATTTTTATAATTTGTGCGTATGTGGTGAATATGATCCGAGAAGTAGACTGTGGGTTATTTTTTTTGTTATACACCGGTCCTAACTTCTTCCTAATATAAAGTTATTTGTAATTCGGTTTGATGGATTCAGTATATTGTCATCAAAATCCAATTTTGGCCCAAATTTTTTAATTTTGGTTTGACTAATATGGCTACTTGATAATTAGAAAAGTTGATTGGTATTCATGTTTAAAACGATAACAAAGGTATTCATATTCCAAACGATAACAAAAAGAAAAGTTGCTAGCACTCGTTTGTTTATTGACGGATTAATGGTAATTTAACAAATTAATCTCTAATGATCAATTAATTATGATCTCTAATTAAAAAAAATATTACAGAGCGAAAATGTTGACCAAAGTTAGCATTATCTACATAAACATCTCGTGATCTTCATACTTACGCATATTTTGCTAATTTTGTTTATTCGATGTGATCTATGTGACCACTTGATCAAGACAACCACTAGACAAAAGAGCAATAACAGTGCATTTACCTAGCGCCTAGCGACACATGTTTTTCAATCTTACTTTTTGGAATTACTAATTATAATTAAATAAAAAATAATAATATTTTTTGGTTAACATAAGAACAATGTTGGTAAAAAAAGCTTGGAGAGAATAATATACGAAGAGATCTTGGTGGTGGTTGGTAAACACTAAAATCCCCTTGATAATAATAATAACAATAATAATCACCATTAGTTACTACAACAATATATAATATAATTTACTCCATGTTATTTAAAGATCAACGTCTCTAGTTTGGGATATAAAAAATCCAAATTAGCAATTTTACCATCTCTTATTTATAAATAAAGATTCCTCTCTAAAATAGTAAACGAAGTCGATAAATTAACAAGTTCGAGCCTTTAACGAGCTAAATAATACTCCCTCCATTTTGAAATATAAGGCGTATAAAGATTTCTTATTTTTTTTGAAATATAAGGCGCGCTCAAAAATCAAGACAAATTTTTGCATTTTTTTCCAAATATACCCTCATTGTGTTGAAATTAAGGAAGTGTGGAGTAGTTGTGATTAGAGTAAATAAGGTTAATTTAGTCAATTTATTCATTAATTAATGTCTCCTTAATATTTGTGCAATAACCTTAAATGTCTTATATTTCAAAATGGAGGGAGTACTAAAACTTCAACCACTATATTTCAAGCCTAAAGAATCTAAACGAACTCAAACTTTAATTCAACTCGTTTAGAACTCAATTTGAAGCTTAACTAACTAAGTGAAACCGAAATCACAAACGACTCATTTTGTTTAATAGCTCTAGTAAAGACCGACTTTTATCCCTGCTCAAGGGCCAATTATCTCTTGTAAAGTGGGATAAGAAAAAATAATCAATAGCTATTAAGCATGAGAAGTGGTTATGATGATATTCACCTGGGAATCCTAAGTTTTAATGGCTAACTTGAAGAAAATAAAAAGAGAAAAGACACCTAGCTAGGCCACCACAAAATAATTGGGGTCGCCTCCTTTAGTTATGATCCCTTATTAGTGTATTAAAACTTTGAATTCATAAGCCTTTAAAGACGAAAACATTATGAACAAGAAACGATTAATAAGTCAACTAAGTCGTTATCACCTGATCAAAGTTGTCTTTTTTAATTAATTTCCTTAACATAAATGACGGGGCAATAGATCCATATGGAATCGGAATTTCATGAAAACAACAATTATTAATTTATTGTTTCCCCTAATTAGTTTATAATTTCGTGCTTGTTGGGACATATTAGTTGAGCAAATACTTGTACCTAAAGGATTAAAAAATTAAATGGATTGTATTTTGGTGTTAGAACGCAAGATTTTAAAACTTGGATGGTATTTCACGAGGTTTGGTTGATTAATGGGTTCGTGATTGAATTTTTATTTATTTCTCTCCTTGATTCCTTTTTCTCTTTTATTTTCTTTTTGAAGAGATAGGATTTTCAAGCTAGAATTTTACAAAAGAATATTTAAGCTAGAATTTTTCAAAAGCTAGAATTTTTGTATGATCAAGCAGCCTAATTACAGTTTGATAATTTCTAAAAAATATTCACATGATTTAGACATAAATAGTCTCGAAATCTCATCATCATAGTCAAAACTAGGTAAAACTGTTGCCTTAATTTCACTTAGCCTTTGCACCCATGAGGGTTTAACTGGATGATTTAATAGCTCCGTCGTTCTTACAATGTAGAAGTTTTGAGTTTTGACACAACTTTTCTTAGTTTAAATATAAATATGTTCATTTTATTATTAAATACTTACACAATATATGAATGATTAACTAAGCTAAACCTCCCAAATCACGCCATTAAAGTAGGCATGCGTGTTTTGGTTGATCTAAAGGGTGAAAATACATTCATTCAATATTTTTCTATGAAAACAAATAAAAGGTTTGACTTGGCATCAATGAATAGAAATCAAAGATATCACAACGAAAAAAGAAAAGGCACGTAGAAGTCTAAATGTGTAGTTTAGACACAACAGATAAAAAATAAAGAATGAAAAAAAAAAAAAAAAAAAAAAAAAAANNAAAGATCAAAACAGCATTGAGAATGAGTCCACAATTGTGGTTAAAATTTAACAAAGCCAACTTAGCGTATGATCTATACAATCAAGATAAAGTATGCTACTCTCTCATGAGTCATGAGAGGTTTGACAAAATAAACTAAATTTTTAGGCCAAAAGTCTCAAGTTGGGATTTTCATCTCTATGAACAATTGAATTTTTTTTAAGCAATGGCTGTCCGAAGGACTAAATTAAGACTCAATTCATAACCTAGATTGATAATAAGAAATTATCAAAAAGTAAAGTTGCAGTGATTAAGGAACTAATAGTATGCAATAAACAATAAGTAGAGTTAGGCAAGAAATTTGAATTATAGTATTTTCTAGTTATATTTGATTAGATAACCTTAGAGGTTTAATTATCTTCATATGAAGATTTTTATTAGACAATATATAAAATTTTGTACTATATATTTTCTAATTATATTTTATTAGATAATTATAGAATTTGTAAAGATATATAACTCGATTCTTCGCATAAAAAAATTTATTTTTGTGATTCATACTAGTAAATACTCCATAGTTTGATATTCTTTATTTTTTCTTTGTCGAGTTTAATAAAAATAAATGATTTAAATAAAGAAAGTTCTATAAGTTTTTATAAAATATGTGTTTAAATAAAAAGAATATGTAATTTGATATTCTCTATTTTTTACTTTTACAAATTTAATATATATATATATATATATATATATGATATTCATCATATTTTCATGCATTATGAGTGATATATTGTGATATTTGGCCATGATTATCGTGTGATTGTGCACCATTTCGTTTTATTTATTAAACTATGATAGAGGTGTTTTTGTCATTGTTTTTGCAGGGAATATGCCCGGGAATGCGTTGGAGATGGAATCGGGACGAAAAACGGCGAAAACGGGTGCAGAAGAGGTCACACGACTCGTGTGAGTGGTGACACGGGTCGTGTGGGTTGAAGAAATAAGAGAAGCAGCTACGGCATTTTCACACGAGTCGTGTGGGTTGAGACACGAGTCGTGTGGCTTCACACGACTCGTGTGGCTTCACACGACTCGTGTGAGTCTGGGAGTTTGCCGAAAATTGGAGAAAAGTCACACGACTCGTGTGGCATATCACACGACTCGTGTGACGCGCAGACTAGTTAAGCGGGAAATAGGATTCTTGTGCGATTTCTTCCCTTTTTCAACCCAGAATAGCCCTACAGTATAAAACAGACCTTAGGAACTCGTTTTTGGGACTTTTGACACCTTTGGAGGTCTAGAGAAAGCACGAAACACACGAGGGATTCGAGGAAGTCAAGATTGAAGATTCGGGAACTAACGGCGACAATAGTTCTTCTTTCTTTTCTCTTTTTCTTCTTCATTGAACTCATGAATATATTTATTTTGAGTTTTGAGAATATGTTTAGTAGCTAAACCTTTTAGAGATTCTAGGATTTGCGAGTACTCGGATTATTTTATGAAGTGATTTTGTTTATTCATTCCGGTTTATCATTCGTTTATCAATTTTTTGTGCTTTTATTAATTGTGTGAATATAAGGGCCCGTATTTATACATATTTGTGATTGACTTGAGACCGAGAGGAGATAGTTGATTGCTAGAATTGGGAAATTCATAACGTAAGAGACTAAACAGACCGAGAGGTTGATAGAATCTTGCGAGGGAACTAGAATCTTAGGAGCTTATGGGAGTTGATTGTTCATCTTGAGACCGAGAGAAGATAGATAACAATTAATATCTACGATTTAACTTGTTCGAGAGAAAGGTGTAAATTACTTTAGTGATTATCCCTACGAATGGTAGAATTAAATAAGGTTTGAATGAATAGGAAATCTTTGTTAGAATAATCCCGAGGAAAGCATAGCCTAGAATCTATTTTCTCATTCTTGATTTATC